GTTTACAATCTACAGAGCCTGAGTGTCCATAGGCATGTGTTCCTAGAAATTGTCCTGTGAATAAGGAAATATAAGTATTTTTTTCAGCCATATTGTAAACAAAATTCCCACTGATTTGAATGCTAGTGGAACTGAGCTACCCTGGGACATATGAAAACATGATGTCTGACCTTGGTATTCAGTGAGGTTCCCTTCTGAGCTTTTCTTCTATGGAAGATGGGCTAAGATGTACTTTGAAGGTGCCCAGGGTTCTCCACTGACTATAAAAGGAGGCTAGGTTAAACCAGGAACCTGAAGTTTAGTTGGCTGAAGTGAGAGGAATCCCATCTCTTGTGTTTACCTTTTCATAATGAACTTGGAACGTCTGTATCATCACAATACAGTAAATGCACACAGAAGTTGCAGATTCATTTATATACCTTGTTCAGAAACTAACTTTTTGCGCATACTGAAGCCTCCCCTGTGCCCTTCAATTTGCTTCAAGTTTCTTATAGAAAGTGCTCAAGTAGCTAAGTCCTTAAAATCCAAAATATTTTGTTAAATCTTGAGTGTAATTTTTTCTAACTAAGAATTGAAGGTGAAACCAATGAATAATATGCACTATAGTTGCAGTGCTAATGTGAAGGCTTGGATGGGACCAAATCCCTAATTTCATTTTGCTTTTTGAGTGTTTAATGTCAGGTTGAAATCATAGTTTGCAAGTTTGATATTCTGATAGGGTAATTATGCAGCTCACCAAGATTGCATAAACTCTCAAGTAACACCAGATCCATTGTGAATCTTTGAGCAGAGAGGCAGCTTCTGTTTCCCTCGTGGATGTATAGATCTGAATTCTAATAATGTGTGGAACACTGGTACAATAATCCACACTACTCCACTGAAGTGGATTGTCTTTACTCAAGAAATTTTGATCTATGGGTTATCAATTTAAAATGACAAGTATTTAATCCTGTAGAGCAGAACTGAAATAGGTCATCCAAAATGATGGAAAATACAATCACATATGCAGTTTATCAGTCAGGTATGCACAGGCATGCAAACACAGCATGGGCAGTTGTGCTCTTTTGATAGAATAGGAAAGGAAGAAAAAGCTGATAATCCCATTTATCTGAGCTACCAATGAATTTTCCACTGCAAACTTGAAATTACAGATGTTAGTAGGCACAAGTCTGCATGTTTGTTTCACGTTAATATTTACAATTTATTATGTTTTTTTGTTTTGTTTTGGTTTTTTAAGATATATGCATGAAACAGCACATAAACCCATGTAACTAGTCAACATGCTTGACATAGTAAAGTTGAGATAACACATGCACCTGTTGGTCCTTTCATGTTATATTCTTTATTGTTCTAAGTAAAACTGTTTCTGTGAGAACTAGTCTATGACAAAAGATGGTAAGGATTTGTCTTTTCTGATTTCAGATTAAATACTTTTTAAGTTCTCAGTTCTCCAAATGTCTGTGCACCAGCGTAACTGTATTTCAGTGAGTGAGTAGGTCTTTAATTGGCATTCTGGTTAAAAACATTACTATGTTAATAGGTCCTAAATTGCAGTTAAATTTATGAATTTCAATTCTGAATTGAAATTCATATTTGAAATACTGGTCTTGAGAGCCATGAAAAACAACTTGGCAATTCCCCTGCTTTCAACTATGTCTTCTAAAACAGACTTAAAAATGCCAATGTTTTCTACAAAAATATTGCAGTGATGTATATATATAAATGCCACCTGTACTGAGAGAACTAACAGGTAAATATATTTTTGTCTGAAAAAAATGTTAAATGTTTGAATGGAAAGAAGTTAAAAATTCTACCATCTAAGACAGACTGGTAGAGTGGTTTTGCATTGTAATATGTTACTGTAAATGCCAGAAGCATGTCTTGGCCATGTGTTGACTCCTGTACATTTCAAATTAGTCAGGACAAATCTGATCTATTAGCCATCTGTAGGAACAACACGTGACATGGCTCTAACTTTAGGCTGTATAATCCTATCATCCATAATCATGTAATGGTTATGATCGTCATTTCAAAAGGCAAAGTACAGGAAGAAAATAAATAGCCATGTTTTAAAGATTTTCTAGGTTGCTTGTCATCCTAAAGAAATTGATATTTGTACTTAATAAGGACAATGCAATCATCCCTCTTTAGTTAATCTTCAGAAAAGACCTTATGAAGTAGGTTACTGTTTTATGAATAAGGGAAACTAGGAAAGAAGTGTGTAGTTTGGTAGGAGGGTGGTAGAGACTGGCAGGAATACCTTGTTTCTCAATCCTGGGCTCCTATCTACCAGGGTTTTTTTTTCTCCTGCATAGTGCAGGTGTGTTTCTGTGCTTATAGGCTGTATTTGGGAGTCATGTCATTGGGGTTGGACATAGCTGTATCTGTCACGTCTGTAAATTGAATCTGCAGCAGCTGTGCACACAAAGCATATCCTCTTCCCAAAAAGTGAAAATGGAATGCAATATAATTCAAACACCATTAAGTCTTCTGGAAGACTCCTTTATAGACTAGAGGACATTGATTCATATAGTATCAAATGGTATAAAAATATCTTTGTGAAAATAATTTATTTCTGTGTTATATCAATGTTGTATCATTGCCAACAGAGACTTGTGTAACAATGCAAATGGTTTTTTAAGTGTTTGTTTCCATCCAGGGCACTTTCAGCCCAGGCACTTCCCAGTCTCATTGTCCCTTTGTTCTAGCGGATGTACAAAGCACTGTGTGTTTTGTTTTCTGGACCAGATAGATTAGATAAAGTCTGAATTTCTGAACTTCACCTCCTAGGCACGCAACTTTCTTCTTTGCCCATGCACCTTAGAAGGCAGATTAGCCAGGACAGAATCAGTGCTTCCGAAAACGTAGATATCTTCTTTTGTCAAATTTGGCAAATAATGCAGATTACAATGTTGATTATTTTTGTAGGACTAAAGAACATTCAACCTTATCCAAACTTTTTCAGAAAGAGGATTAAACTTCTTGACAGTTATCATGACTGTTCTCTTTTTCAGCTCTGTATGTGGAATTTATTTCTGACTCCCAAAGTTTGACCTTTCTGATTAGAACAATTGCCTTCAAGGAACAAGATTATACTCCCACTGTTCACTTTTGCCAACATAATAGTCTTTAGTGGCTTGGTATATATTATAGGTGGAGCTGGTAGTCAAGCCTATTGTTAAGATTTCCTGACACTTTTCCTTAAAACCTCCTGTTTCAATTGCTGTAACTGGGTGAAGTTTTAGCTCTTTGACCTGAAATTTGATGTGCTTGGTCTTTGACTTGAGTTTTAATTTCACTTTTTCTTTTTCAGATTTAAGCAGACTTAGTTTGGCCTTTTAAGAAAGAGGTCAAGAAACAAAGATAGTTATTTTTATTTATTGATTTTGTTAACTTAATTTTCATCTCTCTTTCTGAAGAGCATGCATATCTCTGTGGTCCAAAGCAAGAATTTGAATTTTCCAGAGTCTGGGTTCAAAGGGACACATTCATTTTCAGAGTCACAGAAAGGTTGGGTTTTGAGGGGACCTCTGGAGGTCATCTGGTCCAAGCCCCCTGGGCAAGCAGGGCCACCTGGATAGATTTGCCCAGGACCATGTCCAGTCAGTTTTTTAATGTCTCCAAGAAAAGAGATGCTGTCTTGATATTTCTAATATACTTGATTGACAAAGCATACCACCAAAACATGGCACTACTGTGTTCTCAGCAGAGCTTTGTAAGAAGCAATTAAACCCTCTACACTATTCAGGCTTTGAAGAAAAAGTAGCTTACAGGCTCCTGGGCCCTCCTACCACTGTATTTGTAGGGTGCGGGTAGGTTCGACTTTGTCCTTTCAGCCTTTACACTGCATTTTTACATTACGTGCTCTCACACTCTCTTGTCTGCTTCATTCAGGGAACAAAGGAGCAATGACTGCATTGGAAAAATGGTCTTATTCTTCTGTGTTTAAGGTGCTTTCATATGGAGACTGAAGTTCTCAGCCCAGATGCACCATACACTCCTTGTCTGATGCCAAGCAAGAGCAGCACGGAGTGTACCCTTCTGGAAGGCAAATTTAGTTCTGAAATTGTTGGAAAACCTTTATTCTTTAACCTCCCAGCTCATGAAGGCTTGATTTTGCTGCTCTGCATTGTTTTATGATACCTTTTTAATATGCAATTGCTTAACCTTATTGGGAGACATAAATGTCAATACCTTAGTACATCAACATTTATTACATTTCTTTTGGTTTGCGTGAAGTCTCATGAGTGATGAAATACACCTGGAGAAAGAAACAATCAGATTCTTTCGGCTTGGTCAGTTTGCCATCCCTTTAGAGTGTCTCATATTTCACAAGTGATTTTACTTGAGAGCTCCTTAATGCATGTTGAGAGTTTCTCAGGAATAGTCCCAATATTAGTTCCTGAAGGGTTTATCCAATGTACTGTATAGGTTTTTTAAAATTTATACGAACAGTACTGCAGCAGAGCAGAAGCATTGGAATCTGCTTGAAATGGTTGAAGCTACTACTAAAGCCAAAGGCTTCTTGCCCTTAAAATTGTATAAATGCTCATGCCCATTAGTGATAAAGTGTTTAGCATGAGTGCTAGGAAATGAAAGCTGCTGGTTGCCATTGTATCTATAAAGCTGCATTACACTGAGGCACTGAGTGCGATTTGCTGGGTTTCCATGTTTGCAGTTTCTTTAGTGTAATTGTTACAGTTTTACTATCAGCAGATTTCCAAGCTTGTAATATATATCCACAATGAAAGTGTGTTTTCTACGTGTGTGTCTGTGTGTGTATACACATACACAAGTAACATTTCTGAATTCTGCAGGACTCTCTTGTAGACAGGTTTCAGTGATACGGAGTTTTAAAATGGAAAGAAAAAGGCAAAGCATGGCAGCACAATGGTGATAAAGGGAGAGTTTTGGAAGAATTTTTGTGTTGCTGTATAAAATTTCAGTCAATGCCAGTGCAAGAAATGGTTGATGTTTTCTGGCTTTTTTTCTAACTACAGATCCCTTACCACCATCTCGTTTGGAAATTAATAAAGAAAAATCTACACTCACAAGCTTGCAGGTTCAATGGGATCCTTCCTCAGGAAAAGTGGACTTGTATAACCTAGTGTTATTTGATCATGATAATAAAAAGATACAAGAAGTCTCTGTACCAGGAAAAAATGCAAACCCAGAAAATACGTTTTCCAGTCTCATCCCTGGGAATAAATACAACATTGTCCTCACTGCAGTTGCTGGAAATAAGACTAGCCCAGAACTTCGCATAAGTGGATCTACTGGTAGGACTTCTTTTACTGTAGTTCATCTAAGTAAAACCACTTCCAGTATTTTACAGTTCTGCATTTTGAAATTAGCAAATGTATATAATTCTTCGACATGGCTATATATATATTCATGTATCTGTTGATTAGTAGTAGAAATAAAATGTGCCTTTCTGACAAACAGAATTTTTTGCTAAGAGTAGAGTCATGTCATTGTGTATTTGGGGTTGGGTTTTCACTAACCCTAAAGAAACTCAACGTATTTCAAAAGGAAATCTATTCAGAATTGCTGAAATTGTGGAGATGACCATTAGGCCTTAAGCATGTGGGGTTTTTTATACCAACAGTGCCATCCCCTGTGAAGAATATTCAGGTCAGTGTCAAGACAGACAGCATCCATGCTTCATGGTCTCCTGGCTCTGGACACGTGGATCATTACAGGCTGGTGTTACTGGATAATCATGTCCCAGTTCATGAGATTAACCAGGAAGATTCTCTGACCTCCTACACTTTTTCAGGACTTACTGCAGGCCACCTCTATAACCTCTCTATCATAACCCAGGCTGCAGGATTGGAGAGCAGCAGTTTTCAAACAGTCAGGACAGGTATGATTTCAGAATTCGCCGCAACAAAACAAGAAGCTAAGGTCATAATTAATAATATTATAGGGCATTTTTCATAATAATAAGTGATTTGTGTTCCAAGTTAGAGACACCATAAGCTTATTTAACTCCCTAAGTTGCCACTGCAGCAAAATCAGCAGCTAAATTAGCTTGTAGTGTGTTTGCAGCTAACATAATGTAGGCAGTGCTGTTAAACATGTACAGTTAAGTGTTAACAATCTGAGCCACAGTGCCCTGGTATCATCTTGTGACTGTGAAAGAGGTTAATCTGACTCCTGTATGTACTTCTTCAGTGAACTGAGGCAGTGTGTAGTCTGGTTATTTCGCAGTACTGATGACAGTTTAACTCCATGATTCAGACTGGCCTGAGTGGAAGATACTGAATTTGTGAGTTTTGCAAAATAGCTGCACTTTAGAAAAGGAAGTGGAAAAAAATGTAGGGCAGGTTAAGAACTTTTAAACCGAATGTTAGTAGTTTTGGGTTGTTTGGGTTTTTGGTTGTTTGGTTTGATTTGGTTTTTAGTGGGTTGGGGTTTTTTTTCTTTTCACAAAGAAGTAGTGATTCACAGAACCAGAGTTTTAGAACTTTTTTTTTTCAGAGAGGTTTTTCGGGATAGAGTTCTGTGGTTATAAAGATAAGTTGACATCCTACTAGAGTCCAACAATTAAAACACTTATGTGAGCAAAACCAGGCTCATTCCTTTGCTTTCCTTAATTACTGGGAAGTGTAAGGTGCAGTTTCTCCTACAGAAATCTCATCATGTAAACATAATTTAATACTAAGTGAACAGTATTGTCATACCTAGGACACGCAGATCATGCCACCTGGATTGTTCTGGGGATTACACTCTTGTTTCATTTTATTTCTTCAGAATGTTTTATTTCTTCTTCTTGTGGGGTGCCAGAATTTTAACTCTCACAGGTCTTCTTAGAATGTAAAAGCACTCCTTGCAGTATGGCCCTCCATTTCAGTTCCTAGTGTGCCCCGGGCCTGAGAAATTGAGACATTGGAGATAGCTATGCTTTTCTTTTGGTAGAGCACTTGAATAAAGAAGTTTTATTCCAGTCCCTTCTACACTGGTGTAAATCAGGCATAGCTGCAATAATGCTGTAGTGTTTACCAAAATGTATGCAGGCATTTCTTGTTCTCATTAGGAGCCTGTGCCTGATACGTTTTATGATCAAAGTGGCTAGTGTGAGTGCGGACCTGTCTAACAGATTTTCTGTTTCATGAAAAAAGAGTGGGCATCATAAGGCATGTCACTCTTAGAGGTAGAATGTCTCACACAGAACTGGGTTCAGTTTCACTGTGACCAGACTTTGCCCTTTCACTGTTCAGGCACAATCAGTCATACTCCATCTCGTAAAACTGTTCAAAAGCAAAACTAAACTATGTGAATTAGGAGGCAGCAGGTCTTACATGTTTTGTGGTGTTTGTATTCTATTCTGTTTCTTGTTTTCTTTCTTTAGCCCCAGCTGAAGTCTTAGATTTGACGGTGACTAATGATGGCAGCTTCGATGCTTTAAAAGTTAAGTGGAAAAGACCTGCGGGAAAGCTCAATTTCTATAATATCACTCTGTCTCATCTTGGATCAGTTCAAAAAGTCAAAACTGTACAGCCACCAGTCACTGAGACTCACTTTGACAAGCTAACTTCAGGACGTCTTTATCAGGTTACTGCCCGCACAATCAGTGGTGAACTGTTTACTGATCGGATGGCAACTGGCAGGACATGTAAGTCTTCTGCTTCTGTAAGAACATTGTAACCAATGCTATTTTTACCTACATTGATCTCATAGAAAATCATTTTAAGAGACAACATGATTTGGATTCCAGGCAAAATAAGATAAGGAGCAAAATACTGTTTTGGGATTACCCCTTCCTGACTCTCTGGCAGCCAAAAGCAGCTCCAGCATATCTTGTGAGCAGGCAGTGATAATGGTTTTGGACCTTATAGTTGAGTGAGTCTGTTACAAACCTTTTCCACACTATTGCACTTCTGACCAACTTTGTTATCTTGAATTCCACTCATCATCGTATATAAAATGAGTTACATTATGGGGAAGTCTGCATGTAGTCAAATTATTGTGTGTTTTAAGTAATTTTGCAAGATCTAATCTTACTCCTCACTCTAGAGACAAATCTACAAATTGGAAAAGAGAGGTCTCAGCTTTCTCTACTACAAGTGGCATGGATTAACAAAGGCATGTGACAGCTTGGATAGAGCTAGGTTATGAGTTTTTTATCTTCTTTCAGAGTATAATTTTTCAGGTGTCTCTTGTATGAGTTCTGAACCAGAAAAATGCTGGCGTAATTACAAAGGTGTGTTGTCTTCTCCACACTGGCCTAGCCCAAGCAGAAGTTAGATGATAAAATTATAAGTAGGTGAAGAATGCATACGTAAATTGTTAGAAGACTCAGAACAAAATAATAGAAATCGTGTGTGTAAGAGAGAAAACAGAGTATTATTTTATCATCTGCAACTTAACATCTCATGTGAAAGACACACCGTTGTCATACCTATCTGCTACCCCACTGCAGGCTAGAAGAGCCCTGAAAAGCCTTTCATGTCCCATAAGTACAAAGCTGAACTGGTCATATGCTTGTCTGTTCTGTTAGTCTAGCCTAACATTAAAGTCCTTCAAGATTACCATTTCCATCTAAAGGGCAAGCTTCAGGCCCCCCAGATTCTTGACCTAGACCCAGTGCTTTCAGAGTTGGGGATTAGAAGTCCCATTTTCAAGGATGCTGATGATGTGCCTTTGACTTTGCCATAGACACCAAGAGCTTTGAAAACAGTCACTTCAGCACTCTGTGGTCTAAAGATACATTTGTAAATCCAGGCTGTCAGGTCTACAGATGCTGAAGTGGTTAGACTCTTATGATCCCACTGTAACTCACAGAGAGAAACAGGTGTCTGAGAACATAATACACATCACTGTGTATTGAGAGGGTACCTATGGCATCAGAACCTGCCAAGGAATGTTGTGATGAGAAATACGGACATCTCAAAGACTGAAACTTTGTACCATAAGGGTATAAGGATGTCCAGCCAGCCTGACAAGGCTGAACTTTATCTGTTATGATGTAAGGACATGTGTGCTTCCTAACAAAACTGTGTGCTTCTATCCACTCACTCAGCAACTGAAACACATCTCCCATATTCACGGGCATGTGGGAGTTCCAGGTTTGATACCCAGCTATGCCTGTGGGAAGTGAAACTGGTATTTTGTGGTGCTGGTAGAAATCTTAGTCCTGTGCTAGGTACTGAGCAATTAAATATTCATTAAGCCAGAGAAAACATGAGAGCATGATTCTAGCCTTGTAGTTTACAGTTAATACTTGCTGATGGTCTCAAGGTTCCAGTGCTGATCACTGAGTATCTTATTAACATTAAGCTAAAGGTATCCTAACCTAAGGATATGCATATGTCTTCCAGTCTCTGCTTAGAATCTTAGAATCATAAAATCATCAAGATGTGAAGAGACATCGAAGATCATCAAGACCAACCATTAACCTGCCACTCCACCGAAACCGCTACACCATATCTTCCAGCACCAGATCCAGATGCCTCTTAAAAATTTCTAGGGATGTTGACTTCACCACCTCCCTGGGCAATCTGTTCCAGTGCCTGACCATAACAGTGAAAAAAAATTTACTAACATTTCCCCTCTCTCGGTTTATGACCGTTCCCTCTAGTCCTCTCACTGCAGGCATGGCAGAAGAGACCATCCCCCATCTCTCTACAACCCCCTTGCAGGTAGTTGGAGAGACCAATGAGGTCACCCCTGAGCTGCCTCTTCTCAAGGCTAAACAAACCCAATTCCCTCAGTCATTCCTCATACAGCATGTGTTCTAGGCCTTGCCTTTAATGAACTGCCCTTTGCTGGACTTGCTCCAGCATATCAATGTACTTTTTAAAGTGAGGGTCCCAAAACTGAACACAGTACTTGGGGTGTGGACTCACCAATGCTGAGTACAGTTGTATGATCACTTCCCTAGTCCTGCTGGCCACACTGTTCTTGATACAGGCCAAGATGCCATTTGCCTTCTTGGCCACCGTTGCACACTGTTAGTTGATATTGAGCCACTGTCCGGCAGCACTTCAATGTACTTTTTAAAGTGAGGGTCCCAAAACTGAACACAGTACTTGGGGTGTGGACTCACCAATGCTGAGTACAGTTGTATGATCACTTCCCTAGTCCTGCTGGCCACACTGTTCTTGATACAGGCCAAGATGCCATTTGCCTTCTTGGCCACCGTTGCACACTGTTAGTTGATATTGAGCCACTGTCCGGCAGCACTCCCAAGTCCCTTTCTGATGAACAACTCTTGAGCCACTCCTCCCCCACCCTTTAGCGCTGCATGAGGTTGCTGTGGGCCAAGTGCAGGACCTGGCACTTGGCCTTGTTGAACTTGATGCAGTTGTCCTCAGCCCACTCATCAAGTTGGTGCTTGGTATGGTTAATATTTAATTATTCCATGAAAATCAGAAAAGCTTCAGTGGTCCAATATGACCTTCAGCAGTAGGGTGAGAAGGTTGAGCATGTGAATTGAGGACCCTTGAAGTGGAGGACAGGATGGAGTGGATGCTTTAATGGACCCTAGTTTGAACCTCGATGCCATACAGCTGGGAGAAATTAGGACTTACAAGGTCTTTGTGGACGAAGACATCAGACTTTGCATTTTGGCTGCTGAGACCAGAATTTGACCCATAGTGACCTTAGCTGTGAAATATTGTTATACATTTTCTAAGTGAACTTAAGTACAGGAAACAATTGGGAAGCTACCTGAAAACTGCAAAATACATCCTAGAATTACACGGGGGAGATTTTGCCTGCCCTAAGAAGGGTTCCCCATTTCTGATGCCAGAAAACAGCAGGGGAAAAAAAGAGTGGTTTGTGTGAGGAAAAGTAAAAATTTTCTTTAAAGCAAAAGACAGCCTTTGCAGCAAGATACCTCACATTGCTCTAAGTGGTCTACATACTTGTACAATAGCTATGCTGCGAGACAGGCTTTGCCAGTGTGCAGTTATGTCTCACCAGAAATACCTTATTTCACTCTCTTCTTTCAGTTCCCCAGAAGGTTTCGGAGCTGAAGGCCAGTGCTAGCGGCTGGCTGAGGTCTCTGCGAGTGACCTGGCTGCCCCCTGTGGGAGACTGGGAGAGGTACCACCTGCTCCTGTGGAACCGCTCGGCCCTGCTGCTCAACACCACCCTGGAGAAGGACACCACGGAGTACCTCATCCACGGCGTGGGCCTCGTCCCGGGGAGGCAGTACAGTGTGGATGTCGTTGTGGAGAGTGGCGATTTGCAGAGCCGGACTAGTTGCGCAGGGAGAACAGGTCAGCATGCTCATCCAGGCAGTGTGAGAGTCCAGAAGGTTCAGCTGGGCTCTCTGAACAATGAAAGAGTACCTGGGAATCCACACATCAATTTCACTATTAGTACAGGAAAAGGAACTCCTTTGTAAGCCACAGAAATTTTTGCTTTTAGCAGTTCTGTAAAAACTTTGAGGGTTATTTTTGTGGTAAGTGTTTTGTTAGTGAAAGTTGTGGGAACTGTATCACCATTCTGTCATGACTGAGTCATTATATTACATGTACATTTCACTGTTGCACTTTGTAGCTGATTGTAGGGACCCTATAAAGTTCTTAAAGAACGTGATATAGGTCTTCCTGTATTGTTCATCAGTATGTTTCTTTCCCAGTCTGTATAAAGAACAGTTGAATCAGTTGTTAGATGTTAAACAGTGTTAATCAAAGCTGGCTGAGGTGTAGGTTAGTGTGACTGTTCCAGAAAGAAAATGGGGGTCATCTGCTCAAGTCAGTCTGTCCAAAGGAAATCCATATACACTGCAGGGACATGAGTGGAATTCTTTCACAGTGTGTTAGTCAAAACCACATCTGAATGCTTTAAATGTTAAAAAAATAATTGCAATATAATTGTTAATCTTTCTGCTCTATGAATATAAAGAAGTGCAATTCAGAGGAAAATAAGAATTGGAGGAGGAAAAACAGGCAAGGCTCAAGCCTAAGCCCTATCTCACTGAAGAGTAGGACCACTCTACCCTCACCCTTCCTCGTGCTCACCTGTTATGCCCTTACCTATCATTCTCCAAGGACTTAATTTTGTTAATTTTGCAAACAGCAAGACTAGTAAAAGCTACAGAACTGAAGTTTTCTCTAACTTGTAGCAAACATGATCAGGGTAAGGCACATTCTTTTGTTACTTTGATATGCGTTGTAAATAATTTAAGTTTATAGTGTTACTTTTAATTGACTCAGCTAAGTGATTAATAGTTGACCTCAGTGATCTTAGAGGCCTTTTCCAACCTAAGTGATTCTGTGATTCCATGATTAGAACATGATCTGTTAAATAATCTCCAGCAGTGGGTGTATCACAACTGTTTGATCCACAGTCAGGTTCATAATGTATCTGTTATGAGGCATAGGTGTTAGGCCCCATTGTGACTTAATTTTTTCTTACTTAAACCTAGCCTTGGATAGTGAGCTGTATTTCACTGTGACAGCCTAAATCAGATCGGGCAGTAAATTAGGTAACAGATGCCCTCTGTGTATGCTTGCACGCACACACACGAACACACACAGAAATTCACTGCTCAGATTCTTGCTTTTATACTACTGTAAGTTTGAATTGTCTCCCAACTTGTCTGAGGTATGAACTAGTGCAAAATCAATGTCACTCTGACCCTATAGTGTCTTATATTCCTGTCCAGCACCCAGAGTTCAAGAGGAAGCTCACTGACTTCCCTGTGTTTCCATTCATACCAAAATACATATCCTGACGTAACTTTAAACCTAAGCGTTACAGCCATAATGCATTGCTGAAGTCTGCTGGTAGAGCCCTTTACTGGAAGAATAACACAAATACTAGATTTGTGAGATTGGCTTCCCAGAGAAGGGTAAAGAATCTCCTCTTGATTACAAATAGTCTGTTGCTGTCACAAATCTGTCTTACAGAGCAGATTTCTTACAGCAGCTTGAGATACAGCATGTATGTTCACTGCAAAGTCCTGTTCTCATGGTGGTATCTCTGTACTTTTACAGCTCCAGAGCCTGTTCTCCAGCTCCGTGTGAAGCATGCTAATGAATCTTCCCTTAGTGTCATGTGGATGACTCCTGTTGCAGAATGGGACAGCTATGTGGTTTCCCTGGGAGACAGTGATCTTACGATCATAAAAAAAGGGCTTGCTAAGGAAGCTAAGGAATTCACTTTCACTGGCTTGATACCTGGAAGAAAATATACAGCTGCTGTCACTACCATTAGTGGGACTTTAAGCAACTGGACTTCAGTGGAAGGAAGAACAGGTATCATCTTGCCAAGCTGTTTTAATCTTTACTTCTCTTAACCATTAACCATTTTCTTTGCATTTTTAACGAACTGAATGAACTGGGTGTCTAAATTTCAAAAGTCTAGAATTTGTATTTGTTTCCTCAGTAGAAACGTTTTGTTTCAGAGTCTCTCATTTCTGACTCTCAGCTATCTTGCAGTATTTATTTAAGATTTTGAGGAAATGAATATGTAATTCCTGGCAAAACAGTTTTGTGAAATACTATGTCACATCTAAGCGATCTAGTTTAGCACAGGATTCCATATAAGAACAATTTTCACTGTGTGTCTTCAGGAAGGTCACTTCCTTGATTCAAAGCATTCATCATCTGGGAAAAAAACAAACATCGCCACACAGGAAAATGTTACTTTAGGGGGAACATTCCAAGGCTGACAGACACAAAACATATGTGACCTTGAAGATGTATTTGGAATCATTCTGCTATTCTGATTGCAGAATATTGTATCTGTAACTTAGGGTGATGACTGTGGCACAAGGAAGGTCCCATTCCCACCCCCTGCTGGGTGGGAATTTTGTGCACATGTGCAGGTTTTAAACCATATATGTTGCTTTACTCTGCTTGACTTAAGCATTCTCCAGTGCAAGCAAAGTTTTAAAATGTTGCTCTGGTCTGGCACAGCACAGAGAGGAAAAAAAGCTGTTAGTGTCTAATCTAATCATACCTATGGCTTGATAGTGTTCTTTACTTTAATTTTATAACTCCTAAGGCCTGTGAAGTTTAACTTACACTTTCATTTCTCTGCTATGTGATTAGATAGCTGGAATTTCACTTCCGTCTGACTAATGCCTCTTTAGGAGGCCTATTCAGGCATAAAGGTTACAGTATCCTACTTCAGTAGTATGAATCAATGCTTGAAAACACAGCAGGCAGGAGTAGCATGTCAACATTACCTTCAAAGCGATAAAAAAATGAGCATCAATTAATTTGAACATAGGTTTTAATAAGCATTCCAAACCTCTGAATCTTCTTGCGGCAGGAAAAATATTGCTGTAAATATGGCAGAAATAGGTTTTGCATGCATCCCAGATTGGTCAGCTTCCAGTGAAACCTGAGGTATCACTAAAAGTGCATTTAGCACAGAAACATGCCACTTCACTGTCTTGTTGGATCTTGCTATGTAATGACAGCATTATAAAATAGGTGGAATTTTTGATGCAGTTTTTTATCAAATTCACATTTTTTTCAGCTATGTGCCTAATTTTCTAGCTTTTGCTAATGATTGCTAATTCAGTACTATGTATGCAAAAAAGTTGATATAAAACAAGAGATGAAGTGTGCAACCACATTTTATAGAGTCTTTATTTCAGTTGTGCTTGGTCATGTAAGCAGAAATACTTAGAAAGAAGTAACTGTATTTCCTCACTTGGACTAAATGTTGTCAAATTAAATAAGGAAAGGGGATTTGGGGTCAAATTTGTGCTAGATATCACATTCCTTTGTTATTTCTTTATCCCTTTTGGTCTGGCTAAGTTCACCAGCCTATACTTAGATAAATGTTTGTTAAATGATTCATCTTTTGATGCTATAGAATTGGTATCTTGCAGCTCTTCTGACATAAAAAGTAAAATCAAAACCGTCCATCTCAGTTACTCCCAAAATTAAAGGGTCTGGCACAGCATAGATGAATGTGCCTGAGGTATTCCTCAAACAAGGTTGCCATTTATTAGGAATGAAAGACAGCGAATAGGAGAGGAAAGGGAGAGTGAAGACAGAGTGTATTTGAAACAGTCATCAAAAAACCCAAGTGATTTCCTAAATTGATGGCTTTTGTTTAATGGTATTTATAAAGTGCCATCTCTTTCAGTTCCATGATCTTGAATCATTTTGGTCTGTCTGAGAAAAGCTCTGCCTGTAAGAATCTTCTGTGCCTTAGATAGTTTACCATAGACCACATCCCATCAGACAGGAAGCAGTCCACAGTTAGATTATTTTTAGTCCTGTTGAGTCTGGCTGCAAACTGGAATGTTCTTTTGATGCACTTCCTCGGTGTGACTAAACTTGGGTTCTTTGCGGGATTCTGTTTTATTTTGCTTCTCCTCAGTAAAATTATGACAATTTTTGTTTCCAGTGCCAGCCCAAGTGACTGGTCTGACTGTGGCAAGTCAAGGATCGACCAACAGCTTGTTCACCAACTGGACAAGAGCACTGGGAGATGTAGACTCATACCAAGTGCTACTGATTCACGAGAATGTTGTCATTAAAAATGAGACTGTTCCCAGTGAAACCAACAAATATCACTTCTATCCTCTGAAACCTGGAGGACTCTATTCAGTTGTTGTCACCACTGTCAGCGGAGGGATATCTTCGAGGCAAATGATTGCAGAGGGAAGGACAGGTAAAAAGGAAAATACTCCAGCATATCATTTGTTAGTTCTTAAAAGGTGAATTTATTAAAGAGAATGGTCTTGTAATTAAGCCACTGCACTGAGAGTGCAGAAATACAGGAGTTTCATCCATATAATAATTGTATGTGACCTCATGCCCACTGTGGATCTAGAGTCATGTTAATATGGCTTTAGGGAGCTAAGTGCTGAGCTCTGTACAGCAGGATCACTCTGTAATGAAGACAAAAATATTCTCTGATGTACAGCTGTAGTGGGTGGATCACTCCTTGGAAGGGACTTGTTCCTTTGACTAGATGGTGGTGTATGGTGATTGCTCCTTATTTTGGTGTGCCAGCTGCATGCCTGAACGTGGTGGGATGAATTTGTGTCTCAGTTTATCATGACCCATTCTTTTTCTCTAATCCAATATCAAAGAATGTCCACCCGGGTTAATTACTCAGTATAAGGTCCTTCTGTACTGCATAGGACAGGATTTAATATCGCATCAAATTCTGTAAGTGTAGACTCATGAAATCTCATACCAGTTCTTTGGATATTTACAGAGAGGGAAAAATTGACAAGACAGTGCAGTTTCACCCTTTATGTCAGTTAGGCAAAGGCCAGACATTCTACAGTTTGCTCCAGTGTTCTCCTTGAAAACATCTATTTTCAGGAAAAAAAACCCAAAAAATCCCAAGCAAACAAACGCAAAAAATAAAAACATTGGAGAAGAGTAGCACTAAAAAGCTTACAGTACATAAATGTATTTTGTAAAATCTGAATTTTTTTGACTCTGACAGCTGATGGCCAGCCCCTCTCCTGAGGTAAGTCATCAGTTCATCAGAGTCCAGTGACAGTGTGGTAGTTCATTGTGTTGAAGTTCTGTCTGTGCAACAGCTCTGCGATGGTAGTTGTGGCCCTGTGGAGCCTTTGAGCTCCCGATGCTGGCTTGAGAAGCACGTGTCATTTCTGTTTTGGCCACTAGGCGTCAGAGAACTCATGGGAAATGAAATGCATCATCTATGGGCTCAACGGCCTGTCAACCTCAATAGTTACTGCTGTTACTGAGGAATGGCGATTTGAGAGAATAACTCACCTTTGGGGATTTTAGAGGGGCTTGGATTGTGCCACCAAATACAATTTCCTTCACTGTATTTGAAAAAGCAGATGAGTGTTGCCAAGTGGGAGTCAGTGCAAAACTTCTCGGGCATTCCAGACTGCCTGTTTTGCAGGGGATGGAATTCCAAGCATTCTCACAACAATAAGAATTGGCTAGTTAAAGCTTTTTTGGTTTTTCCTCTTTGTTGCACAGTTCCTTCCAGCGTGACTGGAGTAACAGTAAATAACTCTGGTCGCAGTGACTACCTCAGTGTTTCTTGGCTGCCTGCTGCTGGAGATGTAGACAGTTATTTGGTAACACTCTCTCACGATGACCAGGTTGTTCAGACTCTCACCATTTCCAAATCCGTCAGTGAATGCTCCTTCAGCAGCCTTACTCCTGGGACACTTTACAATGTGATGATAACCACGAAGAGTGGGAAGTATGAAAATTATTCCTTCAGCCAGGAACGAACAGGTAAAGAGCCTCTGAGCAAATCCAGTCATCATAACCACTTTGTATAGCCATTATCAATGATTTGTCAATGTATGGGACCAAATTGAGATGGATGATTAGGGGTTGGAGGATCAAACTATACTATTACGTCCCTATTTAGTTTTATTCTTATGCCCCTGTTGCTGCTTTGTGTCATACAAAAATACTTTAGCATGAGTGAAAGTCATGCCAGTGCTTATAAGGGAGCAGAAATCATATATTAATTTTGGCTTAAATGCATTTTCCTGCTCTTAACCCCTCTACTTGGCTCTTCAAGTATATCCTGCAAAGCATCCCTCCAGAAAGTTACTCAAGCACTGAGAGAAAATAGGACAGGCTAACGAATAAAATGTTAGTAAGGTGTCACATAAATAAATAACACCCATGTCTGTTGGTTTTGGTAGTGTCACACACATCTATGGTTTAGGTCATGCAATGTTCAAGAGTATTATAACAGGAATATGGAAATCACAGAAAGGGATGGCAATAATGATTGATAACTTTTTAAAACTTTCTCAATGATTGGAAAGACTGAGGCTTTACAATTGGTAAACCAGTAAAACAAAAAAAAGACTGTAGGGGGTGTTAAAATGACAAAGTATCAAGTGAGTGCAGTTTTATTATTTTCATGATGTAAGTGAAAATCCACAGGACAGCCACGTAAGTGGGGAGAAGCAAATTCAGGATTAGTGTGAACCTGCGGAACTCGCTGCTATAAATAAAACTGACCGAGTTCCATATGACCAAAAATTGGAAAGGCAAACAGTTATCATATGATATAAATCAGTCTGGAAGCTGCAGTTACTATTTAATTGCTTAAATCCACATTCTGGTCTTTCTGCAACTTCCTCACAAAAGTCTGGTAATTACCACAAGTGTAGTCTGCTGCTGCAACTCCTGTTACTTCAGGAAGTTATGGCTTTCTGAATCTTTAATTGTGTTTTTTCTTTTCAGTCCCTTCAAGTGTTCAGGGACTTACTGTCAGCAATTCAGCCAGAAGTGACTACTTGAAGGTGTCCTGGTTACACGCATCTGGATATTTTGATAATTATGAAGTGATCATCAAGAACAACAATGATTTCATCCAAACAAAAAGTGTCCCAAAGAATGAAAATGAATGTGTGTTCACTAATCTGGTCCCAGGGAGGCAGTACAGTGTCACAGTCAGCACAAGGAGTGGGAAATACGAAACCAGTGAAAGGGTCTATGGCAGAACAAGTAAGTAAACACTCTGGAAACATTCTGAGACACTCCAGGGTTTTCTTTTATATACCCTACCTGGGCTCAAAAATCTCATGTGATTTTAACATAGAATGTGGAGTATAACTCTTTGAACGTATATGATTCCGAATACAGAAAGCAGTGTTTAGCTTATGGCCAGTGTTTAAGTTATAAACATAGAAATAGTGAAAGAGGAGACTTGTGCTGTGAACTTGGAAAGCAAATCTCGTAACATTGAAAACTGAAAAACAGTTTTCACATAAGTACAGTTTTCCACATAAGTTTAGTATTTATAATTAAATTATGCCAGAATGTACAAAACAGCTTTTTCTGATCATGGAAGTATGTAAGGGAGAAGGTAGGCTAGAGCTCACACTACTCAAACTACCCCAAGAATTGGAATTGGAGAGCATGTGGCAGGATTGGTAAGGTGACTAGTTCTGAGCCAGCAGGGATCTGGGTGCAATCTGCCTGTCTTCACCTAGCACTGCATGTGAGTTAAGGAGCCATGCTGAGAAACTGAGTTTATTAACCCAGATGTATCACAGGGCAAAAATAACTGACCTGTGTCTGGTGGGAGTTGGAAACTGCATATTGTGGTGCTGCATCACATAGCTGGATTGCCTTGGTTCTGCATAAGCTCAGGCCTCTTTGCACCATATTTGTTGTACGGACAGATCTCACTCAATTTTTGTTGGCTAGGAAAACTCCCAGCATGCTGCATTATTACTCATTATTTTTATGCTGATAAATCATGGACTCCTGTTCTGAAATGGGACCTTTCAGTGTTAGATGGCCTACAAACCACCCAAATAAGTACAATCTGCTGCTTTTCCTAGGACACCGACTGAAAAATTTTAGCTCAGGAGCATGGCTTCAGAGCTGTTATCTTTTTGATGTGATCTGTTATTAAGTACTGTGAAGTTTCCTTTCTTTCTTCTCACCTCTTCAGTGCCAGAGTCAGTGAAGGAACTGACTCTTAGTAACAGGAGCACAGAAGATCTGCAGGTAACTTGGTCGAAGGCTGAGGGGGATGTTGATAAATATGAGATTCAACTCCTCTTCAATGATATGAAGATCTTCCCACCCATTTTCCTTGGGAACACCATTGAGGAGTATTGGTTCACAGCTCTGACTCCAGGACGTCTATACAAAATTCTTGTCTTGACCATCAGTGGAGATGCACAACGAGCTACTTTCATAGAAGGCCTGACAAGTAAGAAATAATATGGTATTTAAAATGTGTTGAGGCTTCTGTAGAATGAAGCACTGAGAATCAAGGGTGAACCATGATCTTATTTGAGCTCCTCTAACAGTGGCTCAAAGACAGCAGATCTCACTGAAAATCTCAGTAGTACTACAGACAAATCAATCTGTGTTTAATAAACAGATGTCATGGTTACCAATATTTGATTGTTCACAGATAATCTGATTTGTTGCATAGCATGGTATTGAGATGTTGGGATTTGTGTTTCTGTTCTTCTCATACATGCCAGTTGTTTGCTTGGTATCTCTAGCTAAATCACTTGTCTATTTTACACCTCTGTTTACCCACCTGAAATGAATGTGTGAGATAACTGCAAAATGTGTAACTAAGAGTACATAAAGAACTTTGATTTTTTGAGATGTTCTTAAAGCACTTGGACAAGAGGGAGGTTGTCCAAATAAAAGGATGTAGAAACTTTTTTATTTTAGTTATGTTTCCTTTACTTTTACTCCTATAAACACATAGAACTGGCATAAAATGGCATAATCTTACACAAAAGTCTTCAGCTTTACTTGTATTTACCCATGAGTGAAATTACTTGTACCTGTAAATGATCTTTGTACTTTGATTCATTTGATGTGACCATAAAACAGGTAGAAGTTGGAAAGTATGAATCAAACAGGAATTTTTGATCAGGTGCCTTTTTGTTCCCTATTTTTCCAGTTCCAAGTGTGGTCAGAAACATTCATGTGTCACCTAATGGCATGACAAACAGCCTGAAAGTGAGCTGGACTCCTGGAGGTGGAGATGTTGATTCCTACACAGTGACTATATTTCAGCAAAACCATCAGCTTGATTCCCAGAGTGTCTCCAAACACATCTCTGAGCACATGTTTCACAAGTTGGAAGCTGGGGAGCAGTACCGAGTGGTGGTGCAGTCTAACAGTGGCACCTTGAACAACAGCTTAGCAGCTTTTGGGAGAACTGGTATGTTTCCTTTGAGACAAGAAGCAAGTTGCATTATGTCTTCCAAGAAACTAACCCTGACTGAATAATGTTTATGAGTATACCATTGGATATGGGGGCGCCCAGACTCGTGAAGTTTTTATCTCAAAGAGCCTAAGTCCTGACTCCTGCAAACACTTAGGCATGGGTCTGTTAATACCAGTGAGATGTGCCACATGAGTAGCATTACCTGGGTGAATGTGTGTGGAATTCAAGTCCCCAGCCCAAAGTCTGCCCTCATAGAATGAATTCCTCTCACGTCCTGTGTGTGTACCCATCTGATACATACATGCACTCCATATATTCACATTTTGTGTTCTAGCAGAGCTCATTGCATGGTCAAGACTTGTTAGACAATGTATAGTATACTGTGTGCCAGAAAATTCAGGACAGTACACCCCCTTGTTTTTAATCTATACTCTCTCTTTAGCACTTGAGTGTGTTATCTGGGGCCTTGACTACTGTGCAGCAGCTGCTGGCTAACATTTCTATACTGTGCCACTATTTTACACCAATTTACCACTTCTTTACTTTTCAGTTATTTTCATATGCCTTTCTTGATTGTTTCGGTCAGTTCATCTCATTCTCCTTCTCCTTCTTTTCATGATGGTTTATATATACCTATTGCTTCTCCATGCCCAGTTCAAATGCCCATGATGCTCTGTAACTTCATCTGATTCTATTTATGTCTAGGAATTATTTGCTTACATAAACGTACGCACAGATTCTTTTTCCCACAAATGAAATTGAAAATATATAAAGTCGTGTTCTAATAATTGCTTCAATCACGTTTGTGTACCGAATGCTCTGTATTTCACCTTGTAATGTCCTGCCTTTAATTGTTCCTTCCAGTTCCAGCCTCTGTCCAGGAATTACTAGCCCATCATGCTTACAGCAGTCATTCCTTGTTAGTAACCTGGCAGAAAGCTCCTGGTGTAGCTGAAAGATATGACATTCTGCTCTTGAATGAGCAAGGAGTCCTCCTGAGCAACAAATCAGAACCAGCTACTGCCAAACAGCACAAATTTGAAGATTTATTAGCCGGCAAGAAGTATAAAATACAAGTTTTGACAGTCAGTGGTGGGCTCTTCAGTAAGCATGCAGAAACTGTTGGCCGAACAGGTAATTTGAACATCTTGATTTATTTACAGTACCCTCAGTCAGATATCATTAAATGCATGAATCATCTGTGTATCTTAATTCTGAAAAGATTCCAGTAAGGAACAGACTCCAGGTATTTATGAATCATTCTTCTTGATATGTGCTTGGTATGTGAATCTGAAATTTGTCATCATAATAATGTGACTGTGGTTCATAATAAGGATATTAAACCAAGGTGCTGAATGCTTTCCTCAGTCTGTACGTTATGGAGTTACCTGAATGCTTTATTGTCATCAAGTTTTTTTAATTCACAATCTCAGGGCTCTCAGTGCTGGCTTTGATGTGATTACACACCTCTAAACTCAGAACCAAGTCTTGCAGTTTTTACTCAATTAAAGCTGCTCGTAGAAACTAATGGACAGTTCTGTGTGAGATTCTATGAGAATCAGACCTGCTGGGAAATACAAATATTGTGTTGGAGACGCTCAGCAGCATCTCAGAAATGCTGTCCCCTTGTTTCTGACAGTTGCTGTTGACATTACGTAGCTACTTGTAGCTTAATTGAAATGTATTCCAGCCACAAGTAGTTAGTTTGTTAAAGGTCCAGCTTAGTGGCTAGTCTCCTTGATATTTACTCTTGCATTTATCCTTTTCAGTTCCAGCAGCTGTTACAAATCTGAAGGTCACAGAGAACACCACTGACCGACTGTCCTTCAGCTGGACCACCTCACCAGGGGAGCTTGATTCATATGACATCTTCCTATATAACCCAGACAAGTCTCTTCATGACAGGATTTCAGGAGAGCAGCACCTCCAGCAGTGTTCATTCCAGAACCTGCGTCAAGGCAGAATGTATCGAATGGTCATTGTTACCCACAGTGGAGACCTCACTAATGAGTCATCTGTCTTTGGAAGAACAGGTAAGAATGTTTAAGAAAACCATCTGTCTCCAGTGTGGTGCTCATGGGGGGCACCAGTAAGCTGGTCTGAGACTGATGCTCATACTAGATTAGAGTAACTATTAGAAATACCAAAATTGGACCTAGCATGTGAAAAGCATTAGATAAAAAGAAAGGTAAATTCTGAATGACGTGGTTCCAACAAAAAAAATGAAGTGAAGAACTTTGCAATCGATCCCAGGAACTCAGGTCAGGAGAAGGACATCCCAATGTATGCTGCTTAAGCCTTAAAGGAAAACAGCTGTCTCCCATCCTAAAATCAATATTGGTGTATGAGTGAGAAAGAAAAAAAGGCAAAGCAAGTAGGGTTAATGGGGTAGACAATTTACCAGTGAAATAAAACTTGTTTCCCACGGGGAGCTCTGGTTGCAGCTCTGTGTTTTTTCAGCCACATGTGGGAAACAGAGTTTTCTAAGCAGCTCTGACATTCTGTGAAACCTTTGTTTAACCTCTTGAGGCACTGTAGTAACCCCTCTGTAAGACTGCGTCTGCACAGTGGTGCACTTTCTTCAGCTACCTCAAAACTAGATGTTTCCAAGCACTGACTGGGAAAAAGCTGCTTAAGACTTGCAAAACTATCCATTATAAACTTTTCAACCTCTTTGGGGAACAGTGGCAGTTCAAAATAAGAAAGGAAGCTACTGAGATATGCTTCCTGATGCTTCCTGGTCTTTAGGCCAGCTGTGGTGGCTGTCTAGTTTATTACATGACTGTCATTACAGAATAAGTGCAAGGTCTGCTTTACCTTGTGCTTCTTCACATCAAAGGATGTTCTACAAAAAGTAATACTTATTCCCCTTTTTTTCAGTACCAGCCCCAGTTGTGGGTCTCAGGGCATCCAACCGGAACATGACGGACAGTCTGTGGTTCACATGGGCTCCAGCAGCAGGAGATGTTGACTTCTATGAGCTAAATCTTTACAACCCGAATGGGACACAGAAAGAAACCTGGCGAAGAAAAGACCTGAAAGAGTGGCATTTCCAAGGGCTTATTCCTGGCAGAAAGTACTCTTTGGTTGTGGTGACTCACAGTGGTGACCTGACAAACACAGCAAACGCTGAAGGAAGAACAGGTATGACATTTTTGTTTAGTCACATCTGTCTGAATTCATACTATTTCACCAGTTTTATTCTGAGGGAGGATTTATTATAAGAGTCATTGAAGGAGTAAAAATAAAGGATATCCTTAAGTGTGTTAAACCAATGGGGTATGGTTTTGTTCAGCACTGTTTTTCCTGCAAAGGCCCAGGAATATGTAATGTCTGTGAAAGTCAACTCCATCAGCACAGATGTAGTAACTAGCTGTATACATGGGATAATACAACTGCCTTCTGATGCATGAAGAAAATAATGCATATTTCATCTCATTTGTCTTGCGTAAAAACTTAAGTCTTCTTTTCTTTTTTCCCCCCATTTCTGTGTAGCACCCAGCCCTCCTAACACTGTATCCTTTACTGATGTTGCAAACACTTCTTTATCAGTCACTTGGCGGGGTCCTCCAGACTGGACAGACTATGATGATTTTGAGCTGCAGTGGCTTCCAAAGGATCCGCTCACAGTACTCAATCCCTACAGCAGCAGCAAATCTAAAGTACGCATCATCTATGGCCTGCGACCAGGCAGACTCTATGAGTTCAGCATCAGAACCATCAGTGGCAACAGCTGGAAGACATACAGTCAGTCACAGTCGGCAAGTGTGAGAACAAGTAAGTAGGGTCCATTGCACCCTAACACTCAGCTGGAGAAGATGCAAAACTGTTAAATCTTGCCAATTCCTTACACAGTCAGTAATTAATAAATCCATGAATGACACTGATGAATTCAGATAGATTCTAAGCCCTTGCTGTGTGCAAGGTCAGCTATTTAAAGATTGAAAATAGACATGCATTTACAATCCTCACATCCAGAGTGGGGCTGTTTAGTTGCAGATTTGCAGTTGCAGTTTCAGAGGTGAAACAAGGCTGAATATCCAGACTTCTCTGACAGTAGGATATTGAAATAATCAACATGTTTCTAAATGATCAGACAGGGAGTACTAGATTTGAAACTGAAACCAGAGAGTTTCACTGCCCTTTGTTTGTCTCCATGTCTATGGATCCATATCATCTGTCTCTAGCAATCTCAGTGGCAGGCTGATTTGAAAGTGTGACCTGGAATTGTAAAAATAACTTTGCCTTGGCAAATCCTCATGTCATTTGGGGTGATATTCAGCTCTAAATTGACATACATGTTTAGTAAGCTGTATGGCTCTTTAGACTTAATTCAGCATATTAATTAAAATCAGAGCATGGCTACCTCTTTCACCTGTATTTAATCACTTCAATGTAGATGTCTGCCATCTGAAAGTGAAATCCTGTCTTTATTACATGTCACGTGTTATAAATGGTGCTCCCATATTACATGGGTGAAGCATATTTCTGTGGTGTGTTTTAGTAATACAGACATACCATGTGCTACCCACGAAACCAGATCAGTCATGAGATGACAGTATCAGTATTGACTCATATCAGTATTGACGGATACTGTTAACCACATCAGATCAGCATCATCAAGGTTGGAGAAGACCTCTAAGCTCATCATGTCCAACCATTAACCTCCAGATAAGTTGTAACAGTATTCAAGAAATCGATCACGTTGCAGTCTTGCTGTTCTTGTTAATACTTAAGCAAGTAGGTGTTTTTTTGCTTGTTTTCACAATTGAAGCTACACAAACTGATGGTTCTGATGTCATCAGATCTGATTTCAGATGGCTAAGATGAGTTAGACAGCCTTGTATAATTATCAGGCAGCACATATTTGCAGGAGAGGTGGGAATTCTGACTCCCAGCCTCCTGCTCTGATCTAACGGTTGGTGCAGAATCTAGGAGCTGTAGTGTGAGCAGAGAGTGTGTGGTGCCTGTCCCTTTTCCCACTGAGCTTCGACTTCTCAACATTTCTCTAGGACCAGACAAGATACAAAGTCTTCATTGTCGGCCCCAAACCTCTACCGCCATCGCATGTTCCTGGACTCCTCCTGATTCTGACTTTGATGGGTATAGCGTCGAATGCAAAAAAGTGGGCAGTGACGTGGAATTTTCTAAAAGGATAGAAAAAGACAAATCTCTACTTAATATCATGACCCTCGTTCCCCACAAGCGATACCTGGTGTCCATCAAGGTGCATTCTGCAGACATGACGAGTGAAGCAGTTGAAGACAGCACCATCACAATGATCGATCGTAAGTGGAATTCAGAGTTGCCCTGAAGGGAGGCAGTGAGTGGTAATAAGCAATTGCTTGTGTTGGTTAGACAGCAGAAGGAGTTCTGAACTCTACAACTGCCTGTGTGTGGCACTTGTAATCTGCTGGCCAAAGGAGAGTGAACCTGTCCTTTGGTCCCTTTTGTGACAGACGATGCAGGATATTTACTGTATTGTCTCTCATTACCTTGCCAGGCCTGATTATTTGGCTCATTCAAAAAATAAGTGAATATTCATATGCCTGAGAAACAGAAACAATTATCCTATCACCCTGTCCTCCTCATCATCACATGCCTTCAATTGTCTTCATGATTGCTCTTGGCTTCCTGTTTCTGGCTGTTTCCTCTCATGGATGGTAGCCATCCTCAGCACAAATATCCATCACTAGGGGCATTGAATTGTGATAGTGCATTCTCTTTGGGCTTCTATACACTCTTCTGAGGTGCTACCTGACCTAATCACCTGCAGGAGTTTTATCTGAGGGAGGATCACAAATTGCCATAGCATGTGTTTTGAAACAGCTTCTTCAGTTTCTCCACCTGTAGGCTGTTGAGTGGAGGGTAGCAGTAACATCTGCTGGTGCCTCTGCACTGCCAGGCATCACCATAGTCAGCAACCTGTCATCACTGACCTTAGAGCTGCTCCAGTACCTCAGGATTCAGTGGCACAGCACAATGCAGAGGCCTGAACTGCTCCAGGGCTAAACTCAAAACTGACAGGATGGCCATGAGGCCTATATTCAGGGATGCCTCTGTAGCTGCTTATTAAATGCCACATTTGTGTGAAATGCTAGATCATAAAAATTATGTTTGCTTCGGGACCTCCTGGGCTAAGCTACAGAGTTCAGTCGCCAACCCACCTTCTCCCTTCCCCCATGAATCACCTTTTAATTGCAACCATGCAGTCTCTTTCCTCTACCACAAAGGATGCTGCTAATTCAGGTGTGGTAAGAACTAGCCATTCATGTCACAAGAAGTGAGACTGAGTCCTATTTGAAGGTTAGCTCTTTCATGTTTGTTCTTATTTGTTTTGTGTTTCACATTTGTTTCTTGTCACTTACTTGTTTTGACCGCTGCTGCTTTCCCATCCTCTTGTTAACATTGGAGGCCCTATCTCAAGACAACACAAAAAATTGCAGCTAGGCTTTGGAGGTCTAAGAGGTTTAGCTCAACAACCTATAAATGTCTGAATTACTGGTTCTTTTTGCAATTTCAAAGCTTTTGAAATTTAGTCACCTGCTTATATATTTGAAATGTTTCCCATGTGTGCAATATAGTTTCAGTAATACAGATTTTTTAAAGATTCAACAATGTAGATCCTTAAAATTCCTACTTTTGATGCACTTTCTTCCATGTGTACTTCACTATCCAGTTTACTTCTGCTGTGTCACTGCTCAAGGTATAGCTTTGTATCATACAAAGAACATTTCCTATGGAAATTCTGCAGTCAGTCTGGAAGATGGTACTCTGTAGTTGAATGCTGGGTCTGGCTGACTCAAGGCTGTTCCTTAGGAAAATGAAGTGGAAATTTAGATGCTTAAAGTAGGTAACTTCCTGTAGTGAGTGTTCTAAGTGGCCTCCAAATACCCAACTTAGACCTGTGTCATTTTTAGCAGTGACAATTTCTGATTTCATGGATTTAACAAGACTTTAATGCATTTACATGTAGGCTTCTGCAGGAATTCCTACTGAGGAGCTATCACTGTTATTATGCTTGACTCACTGCTGGCATGTTTCATCCTTTGGCAGTTTTCCTGTGGGAGGTGAAGACACTTTCTTGAGTGGAAAGAGAATAGAATCAGAGACTTGGGTCCAGGCATCTGAGATTTATTACAAATTGCATTTACCTTTCTAGGTCTAGCTTACAGCAAGTACATAGATAAGGCTTTCTCTTGATTTTTAGTTTATTTTTGTTTTATTTTAATTACTCAGGCCCCCCTCAGCCACCTCCAGACATACGAGTCAACAAAAAAGAGGTTCTGATTACCAAGTCCTCCATCAACTTTACTTTTAACTGCAGCTGGTTTAGTGATACTAATGGAGCTGTGAAGTACTTTACTGTGGTTGTGAGAGAGGCTGATGGTAAGTGTCATCATTTAATACCATTCTCTCTGCAGCTTGTGGGAGTTCCATGGGGTGGTACACCCTTATCACTACACAGCAAAGGGGTTTCTCCTCATCTAGTGGCTGAGTGTCATACAGGTTTTGGATCTATACTTCCTCCCTTGCCTGGTAATGTTGGAACTCAGTCCTATCCTCAGAGAGTCAGTAGCAACTGCAGAGTTCAGACAGAAGCAGTAGTTAGCTTATGTATTCTAAGTTACACTCTCATGTATGTTCAGAAAATTTCCGTAGTAAGAGAATTTTGTTGGATACCATTGGTAGTGAACACAGAAGAAACTGCCTTGCTGTGCACAGATCTCAAAAGGTAGTTTAAATGCTATGTGGGAACACTAAGGCCACTCATTTGGAGAGTCTCAGAGAGCCATGCTGAGAAGGCAGAGGTCTGCCAGGTGGTGTTTGCTTACTGAAGAAAATTACTTTGCTTGAAGCACTGTAAAACAAAAGAAATTGTCCTCATGGCATGCATGTATACCTCCCTTTCTACAGTTGACCTATATGTGACAAATCAGATGCATGTCTCAACAATTAATACCTTATTCTTAGAAGTGGCTTTGTTTACTGGCATGCCAGGACATATTTTGTTACCCTTATGAAAGTTTCTTAATCTCTCTGTCCATCAGTCCTTAGGAAAAAAGTAGAGATTATATTTCCATTGTCTACTCTATCATATTTGTGCAGACAATAAAGCTCTTTGAGAAGGGGACTGTTCATTGCCATGGCTTTGGCTAACTGACTCTTTTACCCATTATTTTGAATTTACATTTGGGGACTCCTGTCATTTTCTATTGTAGTTTTTCTATATATAGTAGACTTGTCAGAGTGTGGATTTTGTTTTACTTGCTTTTTTAAATATCCGTTAGTAGGATCCAAGAATCTGGATCACAGAAACTCTCACCAACAGCACAGGAAACAATGTCATAGCATTGAATTTGACCTGTGCATGCCTATTGCAGCATTGTATCTGGAAAACTTAGACTGAGGTCTTGTGAGGAAATCTGCCTGAAAAAATAATAGTAAGGCTGATACTAGAAACAAGGTACCCTAACCACTGTAGCTTTGTATTCACAAAGTAGCCTCCAAGAAATGATAGAAAATTGGATAAGAATAGGTCTGTCAAGAGCTTGAGCCTATAAACTGCGTCACATGAATGGCTGTGGCATCTAAACCTTCTGTCTTTCCCTGCACATGATGTAGGTAGTGAAGGACCAAAGCCTGATGAGCAGCACCCATTACCGTCCTACCTGGAGTACAAACACAACGACTCTATACGCATCTACCAGACAAATTATTTTGTCAGTAGATGTGCTGAAAACCCTGACAGTGACTATAAAAGCTTTGACATTAAGCTTGGAGGAGAAATGGAAAATCTGGGAGGAAAGTGTGATCCAGATCATCAGAAATTCTGCGATGGACCTCTAAAGCCTCGAACTGCGTATAGGTTAGATTTATGTTGGTGCTTGTGTGCTGTCACAGTGTTAGTCATGGTGCTGTCTGGATGCCTTATTCACTTGAGCTTCTGTAGATTAGTGACTGGATTGTACAATGTTCTTTGTGTTTCACTGCAAATTTATAAAAGCTTTATAAAAGCCCCTGTTTCATAGATAAGAACTAGTCCTTAGCATGGGAATGATATGACTGATTATGCACAAAACTCTGTGCAGTTAATAGGTTTATTTTCCTCCACTTGATGGGACCTTCTCCTATAGCTGCTAAATATTTCTTTGGAAAGACCATCAGCTAAGTCAGAAGAGTACTTAACAGGAGAAGGCAAGTATGCTTCACTCAGTTCTGTTTGGCACCACTACCCCACAACAGTCCTTTGGAGCAAGCTAGAAAAGTCTGGAGGTTATTCTATCATGTGGCACCATCCCCAGGCTCCAGATCTAGGCCCAGGTTAGCTGCAGGGTGTAGAAGAGGGCACCTGCTAAGGCCAGGCTCAGCAGTTATGCAGGCTGTAAGACCAGACTCCAGTGCAGCTCAGTCACACCCCTCCACAAGCAAAGACTCTCCCAAGAAGTCTGCAGGCTGCACACTGAACAGACACATGGACAGAAGGCACATGCCAAGGAGTGCACATCATGCCTCTCAGCTTCTTCATCATTGAGACAGTGCTATCGTACAACAATCTGCTCTGATTAGGGCACATTTCCCAAAAATTTAGTCTGGGAAATACCCACATTACCAGGAGAACCAAGAGGACTATAACATTTCTCCATTAGCATAGCCAAGTGAAGGGAGAATCTGTCCCCATTAAGAAGTATTTCTGAGTCCTCTCCCTTCGGCAGCTTCTGCTAGTCCTGCCTTCAGGCATGGTCAAGCTGTGTGTGCCATCTGTTACCTCTGCCAGGGTGCCTCAGGGGCCTCCACTTGTACTAACTGGGCTTCCCAATATTTAACTCAGGGATTAGTATTATTAATTAAGTAGAATGCCAATTGATTAGTATTTAACTCAGGTGCCTGTATTAAGAATTGCCTGTGGTCAGTGAAAAGGTTTTAGTTATCTCTAAGGGGCAAATGGGTTCTTACTTTTCTGCTGTTGGTTCTGAACATCTGATGAGCCATGTTTGTAACCATACTGGTGTTTCAGGATCAGCATACGAGCTTTTACCCAGCTTTTCAGTGAAGATCCAAAGGAGCTCCCTAAACCACTCTTTGCAGACACCTTCTTCTCTTTACCGATCACTACAGAGGCAGGTTAGTTTCAGTCTTGTTATTAATGACTGTAGCATGTGATTATATATTATGCCTCAACACTCTGGTATCTAGAACTATTTGTAAGGAGTGGAGCAAACCCAGATTGCTGTGCATGTCCTGAAGGCTGCTCTGAGATGAGGCTGGAGTTGTGGCTTATCTGGCCTTAGCTGAAAACTCAGAGGACTGCTTGACACAGCTGCTGACAGTACAGGAAAGGTTGAATGCTCAGTGGAGCTATCACCAAGAAAGCTTCAAAGTGCAAGAGAACCAAATTCCCATATAATGGAGTTGTACTTTCTTTTACTGTGGTTGGGAGTGAAAAATTTTGTCTAATGGTGGAAAAAATAAGGACACAAGAATCAAGGCCAGGTCTTAGCTAAGTGTTTAAATGCCTTATATTTCCTTGTATTCAGACATTTTCTTTAGCTGATAATAACAGATCCCCTGAAAGTTATTGATTCTCTAATTCTTCATATCCTTTCCTCTACATATATAATTACACTGTTTTGTTTCTAGAGCCTCTGTTTGGCGTTATTGAAGGTGTGAGTGCTGGCTTGTTTCTGATTGTGATGTTGGTGGCTGTTACTGCTTTATTTGTCTGTAGACACAAAGTTGGGTAAGTTGACTCCCTTTATCAGTCTCTTGTTATTAAAGTCATGTCAAATTATATTAAGTAATACAATATATAAAGTGTAACTGTAAAATTGAAGGAATACACTGAACTATTCAATAGATAAAATCTGTCCCCCAACATCTGTATGCACTAAGTATAGAACTAGTGACATACATATTAAGAAATCTATATATTCTATATATTCTGTATCTCATAGGGGATCCTTGTAACTTTTAGTTTTCAATAGGAGTCTGAATATTTCTAAAAATCTGTTTGTCATTCAAAGTGAATGTCTTTTCTCAAAAATGAAATGTTTCATATTATTTACATCTGAATTGTAGATGGGAAGCTCTTGAAACTGTTCATTTAGAGTTTATCATTTCACTTCAAAAATATTAAGACGTAGCATTACCTCAGTGTCCAAAAGATTAGTTCAAACTTTACTTCTTATTTTTTTGTCAATTTTAGTTGTATATTTCACATTATAGATGAATCTTAAATAGTGAACTTTAAATACATTTTTAAAAAGTGAAATACTCTATTTCAACTTTGAAAAAAGCTTTATCCATTTAAACCATTCTGTGTGACTGAAAGATATGAAATTACATGCAGTTTCTGAAATTAAAAAGGAAAAAAAGTAACCTTTCCATTGCATGGGAATCTCTGAAAATCTGAAATGTAGTTCCTTTACTGATACAAAATTAAGTCTATTTTGTTTTGAATTTGCTTTTCAAATGGCAGAATTTCAGATTGAAAACTGTCATAGCTTTTAGCCAAAATGGATGAACTCCAGATAGAATGTGGTTTCTTGTGAGTTACACAGCCAGCAGGACAGCAATTATACCAGTATGGTTTTCCCACATCATGCATAAAGAGAAAGGGAGGTGTGTTGAAGGAGGAGATGGCAGCAAAAGGGTGAAAGGCAACACTAACTCTATGGAGTAAGTACCACTTCCATGGCTTTCCCAAAGCCTGCTGTGGTTCTTACTGCTGCAGTGAACCTGGGCATCTCCTAGAGACCTGGTCTGCAGAGTGGATGTGCTGGAAGCTGTAGACCTTTTACAGCTCTGAAAACCTCCCTACATGTTCCTTCCTGCATGTAGAGAATCAACCAGTTTAGGGCCCATCTTAGCATAGGACATCCTCCTTAATGCATGACTGGGCTGTGAGTGTTTCAGAGCAAGAAAAAAGTCTTATTGCCTGTGCCATGCATATACTCCACATCACTGTTACCAAGTTAAAATACAAGAAAACTCTCTGCCCCAGCAAAGATCAATGTCATATGATCAGAGCCACAAATCAAAACATACTTTCTTAAATTCCTTTTTTCCAATATAAGTTGTTACTGCCAACTATCACCAGCATCAGAACATAATGATGTATCAGAATACCTTCCTTTTATTCCAGCAGTGGCCATGACAGACCTACAGCAAGGCTGAGCATTCGCAGGGACAGGCCACTGTCAGTCCATCTGAACTTGGGCCAAAAAGGGTAATGTCAAAAGATTTTTTTCTAACATGGCATCATGATTGAACAGACCGATCTGGTCACTCACTGATGAAGTGTTTCTTTTTCTTTTGAAATCATTTCTAGGAACCGGAAAACTTCCAGGTAAAAAGAAAATACTAATACCTAAAAAAGCTTCTAGGTAACCAACTGGATAAATTATGACTGTGATTCATCCTGTGATTTTCTTCCTCCTGTTGAATATTTCAGTCCGATCAAAGTCAGTCATTTTGAAGCACACTTCACCAAACTTCAAGCAGACTCCAACTACCTTCTGTCCAAGGAGTATGAGGTGGGATCCCAACGTAGGCAAAGGACTTGTTTATGAAGGAGTGGGCTGGCTGAATCAATGGGTTAATGCATTATAAAGGCCTGCATTTGATTGTCTTATTCACACAAACCCATATAAGTTGGAGTGTTTCCACTGAACTCCACTTGTCCGAGTGCAGAAACCAGGACTTCATATGGCATAGCATCTTCTGTTTAGCAGCCTCTGCCTGATACTGGTCTGGCTAAGGTCAGAAGCATTTGATTGTACAGTACACCTGTGTGATAAAGCATGGAAGGTACCTGCCAGCCATGTACTTGCTTTAAAACAGTATGATTAGCTATGTAATTTCAGTTTGTTGTTTTAAAAAACACCCAGAGAGCTGATAAGCACTGTTTCCCCCTGTGTTGTCATGTCCTTTAATTATTTCCACCTCACATTTCATTACTATTTCTTTTTGCAGGACTTGAAAGATGTGGGTCGAAATCAGACATGTGACATAGCTCTTCTGCCAGAGAACAGAGGGAAGAATCGATACAATAATATATTACCCTGTGAGTTTTAGGTTTGGTTGTGGAATATTGCATCACACCAGCTATTTTTCACTTTTTTTCAGCAAGCCTAGTGGAAAAGAGAGTGCAGCCAATTCCTTCCCTCCTTCCTGTCAAAGATTAAATATCTCTGCCAGCTCAGGTTCTGGTGCTTGGAGGCAGATGATGCATGGCCCTGAATGGCTTCATGCAGACCAGTAATTTAATTTCACACTAGAGGTGTAATGACTAGCATTCAGTCTAGGGAGAAAAGCCTGCAGCTATTAGGGGCATTCAGTCACTGCTGATAACAAGGATAGTAGAAATAACAGTAGGGTTGTTTACATACGGGGTATCATCCATTCAGTGCTCTTTGACAGCCTTGCCAAATCTTTCTTCTTCAGAGTACACAGCAAACCTCCTATTCCGTGTAGAGCTAGTGTGATTCTGCAGGGTAAGACATGTGTGAGGTTAACCCTGTTCTCCTGAGGCGAGATCTGTCTGTCATTAAGAGTTTCCCCCTTCAATCTCCTACCTGGCAGTTTTGGAGGTAAAACAATGAGGAACAGCACATGACTCACTGCTCCACATCCCCACTAATGGATGTGGTGTGTGCTTGCAGCACAGGCTCACAGCATCTCCTGTGTTCTGCCTGCCATGCTCGGCTGGGGAGCATACCTGTGATGTACACAAAATGACACCTGACTGAGATCCAGCATGGCATTATCTCACAAATCAGTGACCTGGTGGCTTAGGCACTCTGTATGTCTCTGCAGAGGGCTCTCTATCTAGGGAAAATGTTTGGCCTGCTCACCCATATTAGCTCAGAAGACCACTGAAGCACAACCATTCTTTCAAGGACAGAGCTGGGTGCTGCTTTCCAGTACAGCACACTGCTGTTAGGATCAAAGGAGGATGTTGTTGTGGCTCTTTTGTTGTCATAACAAATCCTGTGCAGCTCAGCAGAGTAAATTTGGGATATTTACTGCTTCCTTTTCACCTATCTGTCTCCTAGTCTTTGGAACACTCCACAGCACTCATGGATGAAAGAGGCAGTAAAAACATGAACATTTATCCCTCTAAAATAGCTCTTCATATAAAATCTTGTAATCGTGCTGTCAGTCTTTTCACAAATGCATTTCGGTAAGTGGGAGGGGGACTGAAAATCAAGACCTAGCCATAAGCCACTTGTAATCAATTTCTTCCTAGATGATACATCAAGAGTGAAGCTTTCCCATGTGGATGATGACCCTTGTTCAGACTACATTAATGCAAGCTACATACCAGTAAGTGAGTCAAGGGTGGTATTTTACAGTCCTGCCTCCAGTGGTAATTTGTCATTCGTCTAAAACTGAATATAAAGCTGGATGGTTAAGGCTCCCCTCCCCCTTCACTGATTTGCTTGATATAAAGATCTGAGGACTCATTTTGTGGGTATGCTGAAAGATTGTGTCTGACAGCCATTAAGTTAACTGTGAGTGATTTACCCACCACTTAAGGACACTTTCTTGGATTGCTATAGTTATGTAAGATAGCAGGTCTAATTGGCCAAGGACACACTTTTAAAGGTCGCTGATTTTATACAGTGTCCACAACAACTGTAGCTATCACTGCAGGTGTCATCCTCATTGTGGAGCTGTAGCTCATCCTGACACCATTGGCACCTTGCAGGGTGGTGAAACTAGCTGAAATTAAAATAATGCCCTTTGCCAAAGAGTTATGATTGATAATAGCAGTGGCTTTAGTAATCCAGATTTCTAGCCAGAACTCAGCTGTTTTATTAAAGACAGTAAATAAAACAAAAATGCCTGGTAGTTTCAAAATTGCTTGAGACCATGCTAAACACAGTGGAACAATGAAAAGCTTTGACTGCTACAAAAGGAACAGTATTTAGATAGATCGCTAGAGTCTCTTCCTTCTCTCTGTTCCAACCAGTCTTTTGCCTCCAGGTCCAACACAACAATTTAGCTCTCAAAACTATTGTCCCAGCAAGGGCACTGTTGCTGCAGAGCCCTGGCTGCAACCCCATGGCTTATTCAGTTACTAGAAGACTTTTTTTGCTGCCTTTTTGAAAACTAACAGAGCTCTCTTTTTTTTGCAGGGCAATAATTTCCGCAGGGAATACATAGCAACTCAGGGCCCTTTGCCTGGCACCAAAGATGAGTTCTGGAAGATGGCATGGGAGCAAAATGTTCACAATATTGTTATGGTAACCCAGTGTGTTGAGAAGGGCCGGGTGAGCAGTGACTCTTCTTTATTATTGATTATTTTAGCATCTATTAAAAGCTTTTGCTTATTATTTGCATCACACTAACACCAAAAGGGTCCAGTCAAGAAATACACAGTAAGAGATCCAAGGCATAATATAAAAACTGGAGACCGATGAAGGCTCTGAAGTGAGGATGGAGTGACCATCCCAAGGTCACGTAGCATGTCAAGGCTAGAGTTAGGAGCAGAGCTCAGTGCTTCTGGGCTCTAATCAGGGACTTCGTTCACTAGTACTAATACAGTTCTCTTAAGCATGCAGAAGGACAATCACCAACAAAATTGCCCATTTATCACATCAACTTCTACTTTCAATATAAGCTCTAGAGAGCAAATGTTGATCTGTAAATGCATCAAATTATCTCTGATATATAAGTCCTAATGTATTTACTAAAGGGACACTCTCACACTTAACACTCTTGCTGAGTGCAAGAGTATCATAACTCCCCAAGTATGACCACACCTAGAGTCCTTTGTAAGACAAAGTAGATCTGTAAGAAGATCAAACAAACTTGAAGTAATGATCATGTGGTGGCACATATGGGGTCATTCCCTTTCAGTTAATATTTTTTTCTTGAAGAGAGGGTGAAAGCCAATGCAGAATTGGACCTATGTCCTTCTGCACCTCACTGGCTCTGAGTGGGACCCCACAGTCATGTCTCAGAGGTGAGGAAGCAGGCACTGGAGGCCTAGCTCTTATCCAAGCAGGTATCTGAGAAGACTTGGTGCAGAAAATGTTGTGGCATCCAGAAGAGGGATCAGTGAAGTGCTTCCACTTCCCACTCCATCCTTGCCTGTTCCCATCTTAGGCCCTGTTTGTTGAGTTGACATGGTAGGGAGTGGCATCTCTCTCTGAACTCAGCTGCTGCCTTTCTTCCTTCATCCTCAGGTACAGAAGGTCTGAAGTCTGCTTCTGCCAGTGCTGGACAGAGGCATTGTTTGCAGGTGTTTCTAAAACTAAATCTGTCTTTCTTTGTGTCTCTGCAGGTAAAGTGTGATCACTACTGGCCCCTTGACCAGGATTCCTTGTACTATGGAGACCTGATCGTTGAGATGATGTCTGAGTCAGTGCTCCCAGAATGGACAATACGAGAGTTTAAAATTTGCAGTGTATGTTTGCACTTTTTTTTCCTAATTAATTGGCTTAAAACACCTGCAAGGCTGAATTAAGAAGGTTTCTTCTGCTGTAGCACAGTTGCATCATGCCTATCTCATCTCTGGTGGCATCTATAGCATTTCCTCTGAAAGTTCATGTTCTGTGTGTCCCTTCCTCTCTTGGCCTGATGACCCACACTTCTGTATCCCAACAGGAAGAGCAGCTTGACTCAACGAGGCTCATCCGTCACTTCCACTATACTGTATGGCCAGATCATGGTGTGCCAGAGACCACCCAGTCCCTGATTCAGTTTGTCAGAACCGTAAGAGATTATATCAACAGGACTCCAGACACAGGACCAACTATTGTACACTGCAGGTACGTGCAGCAGCAAAAAGTCACCAGCACAGAGCCCTTGTGCGTACCCTTGGGAAGATCCCAAATGTTCATCTTTGTTAGAGCATAGGCAGCCACAGAAGCCGAGAGATAGGTAATGGGGTTGAGTCTCCAGATACATCAGGGCAGCATTTCCGAGACACATGCACTCACCCACAATCTCTCCCTAGAGATGCATCAAAAATTATTCTTAGGAAACCACTCTGTGGGACCACTGGAGAGTTCATAAGTGTTTGCATTCCTAAATTACCTATGTGCTGCTGTTGTGGCCCAACATTTGAATCACAAATGGATGTTCCAAAAATGTAAGATATATCCACAGTGTATATCAACATGTATGGATGTTGAGACTGGGTGACACATCCATCCTTTCCCCATCCTGACTGAGACTCCCTCTCCTTACTGCCTTTTCATTCCCTTCTGCACTTGTGCCATCTCTTGGCAGTCATAGGGCTGCAGTTTTTCCTCCACTGTGTGGTCCACCCCTACATATGTATACAAAAAAAACCCAAAACTGGACTGCCTGGTCTGTGATTGACTGGCCAGTTGCAGCAGAGTATAGGGTTACAGAGAGGGGAGGAGAGAGAGTGAGAGAGAGAGAAGTGCAGTGTGGTGCTGTATCTTCCGATACAGCCATATGCTCCCTGGTACTCCCTGATTGTAGTATCTGACCCCTCCACCCATTTTATGGGCTGAGACATGTATCCTATGTGACCTTGCCGGTGTCTGCCTGTACAGCTTGTGCTGCAGCATGTCAGATGTCTATGGTATCAGCAGGTCAGCTTTCCTCTTTCCAGCCTCCTGCCTCTAGACCCCACCTCCCAGCATTTCAGCTACTGGGGGCTCTGTGATTCTTTTCCTTACTTTGCTCTTCCACAAGGCAACAGCCAACTGATCTTTTAGAAACAAGCTGACCGCTGCATCCCTGGAGAGAAGAGGTCTCAAAGTTTCAGTCAGGTGTAGTCTTCCAGTATATCTCAATGACTGAGTTAATCCAATGCAAAAAGCAGTGCAGGCAGTAAGAGAGATACTGCATCGCTGTCCTTTCCTCCTTCCTAAACAAATTCCACTTTTTAAAGTGTTTGAAATTTCAGAGGTGTCATTTGGGCAATTTTCTTCTCACCCTGAAGATCCAAACTTTACAAAAATATCACATGAAGATAGTGAATGCTTTGATCTGTCTGCTTTTAAATCATTTGGGTTGTTTTTTCCAGTGCTGGTGTTGGCAGGACTGGCACATTCATTGCACTGGACCGAATTCTGCAGCAGCTGGATTCAAAGGACACTGTCGACATTTATGCAGCAGTGCATGACCTAAGGCTTCACCGCGTTCATATGGTTCAGACAGAGGTAAGTTTTGGATAGACTACTGTACACCAGGTATAGTATATAAGAATCAGTCTCTCATCTGAAAGGCTCTCAAAGCACTTTGCATTTACTCCACTCTGAAATATTAGTTAGATGCATTTTAGTTCTGTGAGAATTTCTAGTTCAGGTTTGTTTCTGTTGGCTTTCATACAGTGGGTCCAAACAATAATGAGTAGCAGCTATGCTTCCTATAGATTTCTCCTTTTTTTTTTTGCCCTGGCCCACAGTCACCCTGGCATACAGCACATTGTGGTTTTACTGCAGTGTCCAGTAAATGAGCTTTGAGCAGAGATAGGGCCTTCAGGGATGGGTTTGGAAGACAAGCCCAAAACAGACAGATAGGTTGACACAGTAGGGAAAAATGAGTGGAGAGCAAAGAAAATTAGATGTACATAATGTTAAGACTCTAAGCACTGTGACCTTGTGGCTTTGCAGTTTATTTTTTATTGAACTCCTATATCATTTTCTTTTAAATGGTATTGGAGAGTTGATCAGCATTCTCCTAACATACTATGCAAAAGCAAGTACATTTATTCTCAAAGTGCAGGAAAAGCTTGGTATTTGTGCTTCTAAAACTGTGGCACAATCATGTTACACTAGCATCAGCTAAACACTTAGGAGCCAATTTAATAAAGGTGAGCTGTGGAGGCAGTCTTTACATTTTCCCTGTGAACTGTTAATAGAAGACAGAACAGGTTTGATGGGTCTGCCTGGAGCTTGATACTAACAGAGTTCTTTGCTGCAATTTGGAAACAAAAATGTCAGTGACAGCATTTCCTGATAGATGTAAAAATCTCATATGGGTATTAAGAGTGACCCAACTGGGAACACAAGAAAGGGATTTCCTAGAAATATTTTAATCACAGAAGACCTGTTGGAGGGGAGACAGATTCTCTTCCTGGTCTAGATATCCTCAGAGACAGATTCAGCTCACCTTCTGCATTCCCATCATCCATAGTCTGGTGGACAGACATCTCAGCTGGAAAAAAGAGGCAACTACGATAAGCTTGACATGACACTTAAGTCAAAAGGCAGGCAGACCCACACAAAATGTCTAGAGCAATAGTGAGGAGCTGAGCCTTCCCACTACCACTGCTACATGCCCTTCTGCCCCAAACCAGCTGTGGCTCAAGTCTTACCCAGATCCTTGTAACCAGTCCCGCCTCTGGAAGATTTAGCAGTCTGCATCCCAGGCACATGTTGACAAAAAGCTTTTACAGGTCACAGATGCTCACCCAACTTGAGCTGTAACATGCTTGTAGACTGACCATGTAGCTGTGTCAGTGCACAGCCACTCAGCTGCTGTATTCTCAGCAAGTCTTACTAATATGAACTGAACTGTCAGTTGCATCTGTATATGATTTCTGACTTGGAACTGCGTTTCATCAAAGTAGCTTAGAGCACAAACAATACAATCTCTCATCCTCCCACGAAAGAATGAAGTAAATTTATCCTTGAGTTTTATGATGATTCAGAGTTTTCAATGAGCAGTGAATTAACTTTTAAAAAACAGTAAAGGAGGTGGGGAGAGGGGGAAGAAAAAGTCTGCTCCACAAACTCCCTTTAATGTTTGTGAAGACTAGTTCCTAGAGTCCATGACTTGGCTTCTACAATCTTTTGTGGGGTTGGAATAAAAGATAAGTCCCCATCTGTCAGTGTAGTGGAAACCAAATCCCACTGGGGAGCACAGGCCAGCAGATAGGACTGTTTACAATGAGATGCTCTGGCCACAGGTCACAGCACCATCATGAGTGACATTATGCAGTCACAGAAAAACACCAGCAACAAAACACTGCTCCTGCTTCAGACTTGGCTGAAAGCTGTTTCAGACAAGAGACTGTAGCTGGAGACATGCAAAGGAGTAACAGAAAATTGTGTCCATCAGCTCAAAAGGCAGTGTGCTCAGCACAGCTGCTGTAACACAGACTAAGAAAGTTTCCATGCCTTGGCCATCGTGTTGGTGTTTGGGGCACAGGGTTCTGCTCCACAGAGACAGCAGCTGTATGTGCATAAAGGCAGACACCCTCATTTTCCCAGAGCACTGACAAAAAGGCACAGAGCAGTGACTGGATTTCTTGTGAAAAATAAGTAATGAAGACATAAGGAGAGAAAATGAATATACCTATTGGAGAAATTATGTTCTTGACATAAAGTAATATTAAAAAGGTGCACCTTGATCTATAAAGAGGCTCGGCCTGATTTTTGGGGTACCATGTTACACTAACCAAAATATTAAAATGACCCATGTCATAAGCCACAAAGAGTAGCAAAGCATGGGGATTTAACAATCTGTTCTATAAAGGTAGTTTGATAAATAGTCAATAATATGCTGACTATCCTTACTTTGGTTGCAAATGTCATCTTAGCTCCCTTCTGTGAAAGGCACTCTACAGAAAAGACTGTCATTTGCTGTGTATTCAAAAACTAACTTACATTGGATCAAAAAAATACTTATTTTGCCAGAAGATTTGGGTTCCTCAGAGGTCTCTGAAATATTTATATATTATGATAAAATTCTGTGCAGAATATTTCTTTTCAGAACAAAAAAAACCAGGAAATTGTTTGTCTTTTCTGCGTGTGTTCCTGTGCATAATGATTCTGTTACACATACTGTATACCAAAGCATTCAGGCATAGGAGCTATCCAACACAGCACTGTGTCAAATTATGCTTTACAGTTGCTAGAGCTTTCACTCATGGCATGATCCATCAAAACATATTGTGTTCATTTATGTTTTACTTGTTTTATTTCTAAAAACATGATCACAAAAGTTTGCTGTATTTCTAGTGTGAAAATGAGATTAATTTTAGAAGTGCATTTTCATTTTTAACACCACCCTTGATTTTGTGTGATGCAGTTAGCTTGTAATGATTTTTCACAATACAGAAAATTAAATTACCAAATTTCCCAGTGTGTCTTAAAACAAATCTTTTGCAGTGTCAATATGTCTATCTACATCAATGTGTGAGAGATATGTTAAGAGCCAGAAAACTTCGCAGTGAACAAGAAAATCCCTTATTTCCAATATATGAAAATGTGAATCCAGAGTATCACAGAGGTAACTGCAAGTTTATCAAACTGTAAAATGTTTCAAATGTAATAGCTCATTGACAATGTAATTGAGGGAAATTGTGCTATCCCTTACCATCGATACTTATTCTCTTCGTGGACCTTCATTTCTTCACTCCTTTCCTCTTGTTACTCTTGCAGTTGCATCTTTGTTTCCTCCATTAATAGTCATTATCACTTCCTGCTCCTACCTTAACCTTCATGCTCTCCCCATCTCACACTTCATGGGTCCTATGCTGCTGGGTGAACTTAACCCCTTTCCCATCATGATATTGGCTTTTACCTCACAAGTCTTTACACCATCAACCTTTAAGCACACTGAAGCTATTGACTGTGTTCACTAGGCTCTTCTATCATTCATGGATTTTGATTTCTGTCCTGCATCACCCTCATTTGCTGTTGACTATACAGACAGCCTTAGGAGACTTCCCATCTGCCTTGACTGGAAAATGTAGGTGTTGCAGTCTTTGCTATTTCTTTCTGCTCAAACTCCCCATCCTTGTAGGCTCCTTTTCCTAGCCTGTGTCCAGTCCCTTGCCCGTAAGAGTTGCAGCAGTAGCAGACCTGGCCCTAGCACTGCCCTTCGCCTCCTGTTCCCATGGCCAGAGGACCAGTCTGGAAAAGCTGTAAGCAGAGGTGGCCTGTGTGCCTTGGTAGAGCTGATTCTTAAGGGCTGTAGAAGTTTTCAGAGACAGAAGGATCTCAGTAGGTCCACGATTTGGACATTAGGAATTGAAGTTATATAATGAGCGATCAAAATAATTTTCTTGACCTAGCCTGTAGAAATCAGAGTTGTCATTAACACATAGAGCAGGCCTGGAGGAGAACAAGGACTGAAGTAAGCTGGCAGTCCTAGCAAAAGCAGAGGTGGGAATCTGCTCTTTAGCTGTCACATCAGCCACCAGCCAGCACTGCTGCCACACAACCACCTCTCATAGCACTGTAGTCAGCTGGTGGAGTTGAACATGAAGACACTGGCATTGTTTTCCTTTTCTAATCTCAGTTTTCATTGCTTTCAGATGCTGTTTATTCAAGGCACTAAGAATGTTAGAGATATCTGCTTTTGTGACCACACTTGTTAACCAAGGGTTTTGTTTGGGGTTTTTTATGTATGTATTTCATACACCAGAAAGGTGCCAGACCTTTCTACTGAGACTGTGTATAATTTATTGGTCTGGTGATTTTTTTAAAGATATATAATTTAATGTAATAGATATTAATGTATATAATTGTATTTTTGGCATTGTGTAAATATGTATTTTTTCTATATTGTTTATATTAATATTATGCTTCAGATAATACTATTTTTTCTTATCACAGTTTTTATAACTCTTCTACATCAGCTATTTTAAATTGTATGGCTAACAGGACTGCTGTGTTTAGGGCAGTATTGGCATGTAACACATGGGAAAAATCCTACAAGGAGAACCATATTTTTTTTTAACTGGTTCAGTGTTTGTGAGATGAAATAAGCTACTATTAAGCAAGGGAACAGTAGTCCTGTACACGAATTGCAATGCTACTCTACACTTTAAACTTACTGCTTTTTGTCTGACAAAAATGGGTATAGCCCATAACAAAATGGCATACCTTTTGCAGAACTCATTAACAGCCAAGCAAAACAGGGTTCACCTCACTAGAAGCAACTGTTTCAGTCTAATGTGACATAGTAGAAAAATATCAAACAACATACGGTGCAGTGAAGTCTAGCAGACCTTTCTCCCACCACATACTTTGAGGGGAGACAGGTCACGTTGCGATTTCTTTACACTGGTTTAAGAGAGCAGAATCAGACCACAACCTGTGTCTGTGCATTTTCACGTGTGTATAATTTTAATAAAGATGTTCAAAGAAACACCTCAGACACTTGTGTTAACAGACCTGTAAGGATGTGAAGTCTGGCAACTTCCATAGCTCCTTAGGAGCAATGCTGTACCATGACAGCCAAAGAAGTAGAGAGATTGCAAAGGTGTTGAAACAAAGACATATAAAGGTAAATATCCCACAGTTTACACAACTGACCTTAAGCTGCTTGCAGCATAGCCGCCTTGCCCCAGGTGTTGGTCTCCTTCAAGTTCCACTTGCTTTCATGAAGGGACGGTTTGGCCCCAGCATGTCCACATAATAAAAATCCTCTGCTTGAATGTTGCTTGATGCCACCACCACAAGAGCAGTTGGAATGGAAAAAGGTTCATCAGTAAACCAGGGAATGTAGACTGGCAGGGCTCTGTTAATCATAGAATCATCAAATGGTTTGGATTGGAAGATGCAATCTCAAAGATACAATCATTTAGTTCCAACCCCCCTGCCCTGGGCAGAGTCTCATGACTCAAAACATTTAGTGTTTAGCAAGAAGTACAGTTGAAGAGCACTCATCAGGTATTCTGCCCAGCCACAAAGATTATGCACATCCTCTCTCCTCTGCAAAGAGGCTTCTCATTCAAGGCTCTAAATACTCTGTTCAACTGTTCTTTGTCCTTATAAAATGCTCTTCAAACAAATAGAGAAGAAGCAGTACACAGTTCTTCTCCATCACAAAAAAAAAGGGGAAAGGCTGGATAGTTCTTTCATATATCTAGCCATACTTTCCCTAGAGGAAACTTATTGCTGAAGACAAGTGCCTAAATTCCATTTCTGTTTTGGAGAGAAAGAAATGTTTCTGAAGGCCGCCTGAGAACCAGCCAGTAAGTGGCTAACCAAGCGGTTAACCGAGGAACTGTTGTGGCCCTGGACCAAGACTGTTATGATTTCCCCATGACTTATTGGAGCCACCTCCTCTTCGTGGCAGAAACACATGCTTGACAATGGCTGGAGAGATCCACTAGGCAGCTCTGACATAGTTTTCTTAAATTGTTCCAAAGCAGAACCAGCAGGACTATGCACATCCGTGTCACTCTCTTTTTTCTAGAGAGAAGGATAGTCTGATAGTCACTCATTCTTCCTACTCCATCTGGAGTCTCATCCTTTCTTGACCAAATATCCTTACATGCCTCAGAAGCAATCCTTCATTAGGTTAGTCTTTTAGGTGTTCCTCTATGAAAATACTTCTCATTCCTCTTGTACATTCTCTTTGGTGCCACACAAACCTCCAAATTAACCACTCTTAGTGAAAACTAAAGAAGAAGGGAACTAGCATTAGAGTGGAAGACATTTTCACAGAAAAAAATTAAGCAAAACCACAAGGAAATGTGCAAATGTTCTACAGAGCCCTTCTTTTCTCTGTTTCCTTTGCTAGATCAACTAGGTTAGCAAGCAAGGACAAACAAGCATGGCAGCTTTAGATCAATTGCTGTCCCTGCTAATAACAGCTGGACTTGAAGCATCAAGAAAACTGCTGTTGTGTTATGTGCCCTGCATTTAGACCTTTCTTTTTGCAGGGGTAGCTGAGGATCAAGGATCACCATGTTAGTTACCAGCAGTACAATTGCACTGTGAAGACATACCAAATGTACCCTGTAAATTATCTCACACTATATATCACTGTGTCACTTTTTTAATGCTGAAGGAAATGGAACTCAATAATATATGATCTAAGGGCAGAAGTCTGATTGTATACTATGTATGTATGTTGTTCATCATTCTCAGAAGGACACACATCATTCTGGTCTTTATTTTAACATTCTTGGCTCCCTCATCCACACCTACAGAGTTCACAAAAGTGTACTCAAAACAATGATGTCATAGCAGACAGCTAGCTTCATCTTTTCTCTCAGCTAATAATGGACACAGTTCATAAGCCTCTTCCTCCTCATCAGTTAATAACATGACAGATGACCTTAAATGCTCTGGCATGGTGCTCTTGAGCAGCTTTACATCTCTGCCCAGCTTGGTCACACATGAGACTGTGCACACACATTACTGCTCTGGTTCTGATCTCTAGCCAATTCTGCTCCTATGACACCAGTGTAAATCCACTAAGAATAAGTAAAAAGTATCTATGTAGCATTTTGTTAATATAAGACACCTACTTACCAGTATCATTAATTGTATTTACTGTGCCTCTAAGCTGAATAACAGGACTGATGGGAAATTGTTAATGTAACAAGAACGGACTTGAAGGAACCTGTGTACTGAACAAAGACAGCTCTTAAGGAAAGAGACATCTTTTGAATGTCCATGAATGATGGTCAGAATTCCCTTCTTGATGTTTCCCAGTAATAATGTTATAAAGCAAGGCTAGTGTTGTTGCTGATCCATAAGCTAAGATTTGCACACTTGGAGCCCAGTCCTGTGAATCTCTGCATTGTCACAAAGCTACCTGAGTACTTTCATGAAAACCAACTGGAATGCTTGCCTGAAGAAAATACCATTCCACTTCTGAAGCACTTGCAGGGTTGGGCTTTTAGATTAATTCAAATTTTTGTAATGAAAGTTATTTAATAATGAAAAAATTTAATAAATATTTTTTGATCTGTGCAATACAATTACAAGATCCACTACCAATTGTAGAAAAAAAAAGGATTTTGCATAGCTGGAGTTGATAAATGATATTTTTTGTTACTAATGGAACACAAAAGTGGGTGAGAGACAGAGGCATACTGTGAAAATGGCATAAAAGTGCAACTTTATACATTTTTCTCTGCTGCTATAGTTATTTAGCAATAAAATAATGCCTAAAATGCCAGAAATATTATTTTGTGCCATGATATATTATGAATTTCCTTTCAGTTGTAGAACAGAGGAAAGAAAATGTGTGAGCTTTAAGTTTATATTATGTATTGTATACAGTTATTTACGCTTCGACTTTGAAAGCAAAAAATTAAATACTAGGCAGGAGTACATGAGCACTTAGCCATACTCTTCAGCCTTGGAATATATATGGGCTAGAAGGAAGAACAAAACCATCTAATCATTATACTAGCATCTCCTCCCAGGGCCACAGGTCAGAGAAATCCATCTGACATTCAGAGATACAGCCTACTGCAGCCACGTCTTCATGGCCACAGAGTGGCATGGCTTAACATTTAGTCAGATTTCTTTAAGTACTTCAGACATACAGTTTGTGTGAACAAAATGCAATGTAGAATGACCACCGCTCCCTTGATGGCCCTGTCATAGATGTCCAAGCTCTGGAGCTGTGAGCTGTGGCACCTGTAGTCCCAGGATGCTGTAGCTTTGAGTAGAAGATGAGTGCTCACTACAGTACTTGGGCAACATGCTGTAGACCCCATGCCCTCTACTGTCCCTCCCAGGCTGACAAACTCCTGACCTGCTGGTGGCACCACTATGGCCAAAGCAAACTGGTCTGTTTTCAGTGACCTCGCAGATCAACAGCTGGTTCAGACTGGGATTGGGTTTTTAAGACTGGCAGGAAGTACCCAATACTAGGGACTAGCTAATTTAGAAACCACTGTGGAATTTGGACAGACACAGTGTCAGTGATGCTGGTAGATTGATATGCGTGACAATTTGGTTATTTCTTGGTTTATTTGAAAGCTAAAGAAATGCTTTAAGTAATGTCAAGTCGATAAATATATATTGCTCTCCAGCAGGGTAGCATGTTACAGTGAAACCCCACAATTTTGCAATGTGACTAGCCATAAATTCTTTGCAGTGCCTAAAGTGTCTAAAAAACATCTTTAGCACATACTCCATTTTCATATGCAATATAATTACTTATCATTGTGTTCCTAACAAACACTGGGTGAACACGGAACTGTGCTACTATTGTCAATTTAATTTATGCATTTAAGTATATTTTTGTATTTTTAGCTACAGTCAACAAATCAAATATATTTTAGCATATTTTACACATTTTTATAAATAGTTCATGAATAAAACATTCATTTAAAAAAATCACAGTCTGATCTTCTATTTGACTGGCTTTGCTTTATGAATTTTGTTGTCCTGCTGCTCAGAGAAAAGGTCATAAGTGAGTTTGATTTCAATTGAGACAGTCTTCAGAGAACATTAAATTCACCAGAAGCCTCAGCCTGTTGGGAGAGAGGGGACTGTGTTGTTGCCCGCTGGCCAGATTAGTGCCCATGCGGAAAGATACCGTTGTACCCTTCTCCTCCCTGGTTCTCTGCCCTCCTCCTTTAATAAACCACATACTGTGGGGGTTATGCAACGTATATTTGAAACCACAGTGGGTCTTGAACTTGAGTGCCTGTTATTTTAGAGACATTTTGCCAGGCAGTTATACCAACTGGCACCACACTGGAGCTCCATCGCTGCCTCCCACTCAAGGATGTGCACCATGCTTTGTAAGA